TTTTCACCAGAAGAACCATAGCTTGCTGGGTCTGTTTACCGTGTGGTCAACTCGTCCAGGGGGTCACACACACCCGCTGCCGAGCTAACACCCTCACAGTGGTGCGGGCAATATAAACAGACCAGCATGGAAGAGTTGTTGAGACAGCTCGGCAAATGCCAATCAACAGCAGGCGGACAAATGAACAATACCCGCGGAGTCAGGAAGCCCATCAGCGTGCCGAGGCCCGCTACATAGACTTATTGCCGCAGCCGGAGCAGAGGTTCCAGCTACAAATGGGAGGCATTAATGCAGCAGCGTCCTCAGAACCAGCACAACAATGAAGCGAGTAGTTCCAGCAATACACCGGGAAAATTGGCCGAAAGAGCAGTGGGCTGGACTGGTGGCCCCATTATTAGCTGGAGAAAACCCGGAAAAGCTTATTATGATCTGGAGCCCGGGCAGGCAAAGGACTATGACTTGCTTAAAGGAGAACTATGGGGTCAGTGTTTTTCCTCATAGTTCTCCTTAGGGTAACGGGAGGACACAAACTAGCATCCTCCCGTCACCCTAGGCTCAGTATATGGGGAGCTACAGCTCGCGGTATACTGAGACCGCCGCAGCCGGTGCGGATCCCGACGTAGATGACGGGATCCGCCCAGCTGCGTGAGTGACAGCTGGCTCCGCCTATCTAGAGGCAGACCTAGCTGTACCCGCCCCCTCCCCCGTCCGTTCCGCCAGTCAGCGTCTGGGGTTGTAGGAGACTACAACCCCAGACGAAAGCATACAGTCTATTGAGGTTTCTGATCTAGCCTATAGCCTGTTCAGCAGCCAATCTCCACACATGTGGCAAATGGGCGGAGCCAGCCGTGATCTCACGGCTGGCTCCGCCCAGTTGTAATGACAGATCAGCGCCCCCAAATGGCCCGATCCGGCATTAAACAATAACAACTAGGCGGAGCCGGGCCATGACATCACAGCTGGCACCACCCAGTTTTTATTCATTGGCCGGGAACTGGCAAGTACCAGCCAATAGGAAACAGTTGGGCGGTGCTAGCTGTCACTGCTAGCTCTGCCCAATTGTTTTTATTTTGTCGGCATCTGTCAGATGCTGCATTATGCGGCGGGAGTTCGCCGCGTGCGTTGTTTTTTTTTTTCTTTATTCCTCTTTTCTTTAAAAAAAAAAATTTAATGATCCTATTTTTTTTACATTTTTAAAATCATTTTTCAACTTTTTTCCCACTTATTTTCTAACCTGCTCGCTACCTCGGAGGTACCGAGCAGAATAGCCGAGCCGAATGCCGCTCAGGGGGGCATTCCGCTATTCACTCGCTGCCGCTCGGCCCCTATGAGAATATATGAGTATAGGGGCGAACGGCAGCGAGTGAGCGACCGAAGCTTCGGCTCAACCGATCCAGATGTTGGATTGGCGAAGTCGCACTCCTTCTGCACTTCGGGTCAGTCGAACATGCACAGCATGTTTGGCTGATTGAAGGCAGCCGATGTACGTCTGACATCAGCCGTACTGAGCTGAAGTGAATAGCCGAAAAGCGTTCGGCTCACTTCACTTCGGCTCGGTTATTCACTCGGCTCCCTTCGGCTGATAAGTGAATAACCCCCGATATGTTTTCTTCCACAATCAATCTCTTCCAGTAAAAAGATTCTAATTTCATTAAAGGAGAACTATGGGGTCAGGGCTTTTCCCCATAGTTCTCCTTAGGGTAACGGGAGGACACAAACTAGCGTCCTCCCGTCACCCTAGGCTCAGTATATAGGGAGCTACAGCTCGCGGTATACTGAGACGCCGCAGCCGGAGCGGATCCCGACGTAGATGACGGGATCCGCCCAGCTGCGTGAGTGACAGCTGGCTCTGCCTATCTAGAGGCAGAGCCGGCTGTACCCGCCCCCTCCCCCGTCCGTTCCGCCAGTCAGCGC